GTTCATAAGAGGTTCAGAGAGGTAAAGTTACATACCATGATTACACGGCAATGACATTAACCATAAAGTCACCTGTAAGAGGAGATTGTGCTTACGTTCCCAGCTGCCCCGACCCGAATAATCACACGGAAACTGTATTAACTACAACACTGTTTAGCAAATAGCTTAGGCATATTCCTAGCTAGCTCTTAAAACTTTAATTAACCCATTTCTAATAATCTGTGTATCAACACGAGGCTGCAGCCTACCAGTAAGGTTCCAGTGTCTGTCTTCTTTGGCAGCTACATAGCATCTCTCTAACTCCACATTCTCTCTCCTCTTTCTCTCTCTCTCTCTCTCTCTCTCTCTCTCTCTTTCTCTCTCTCTCTCTCCATATATATATGTTCAGATTTCCTGCCAGGCTTTATTCTGCCCTGCCACAGGCCAAAGCAGCGTCTTTATTAAGCAATGGTAATAAAACATATTCACCACATACAGAGGGGCATCCTTCAGCAGTCGTTACTATACAGAATGACTGAGATGGCCCTCACCGCCCAGCCAGATAACCTGAGACCCATGCCTGGGAGGCACATGGTGAGATACAAGAATTAACACCCTAACCACTTGTCTTAGTCTGCTCAGTCTGTTAACTCAGGAAGGAAAGGGTTTAGTTTAACTTACTCTTCCAGGTAACATCAAGGGAAGTCAGCGCAGGAACTGAAGTGGACCCCACGGAGAAGCACTGATTCCTGGGTTGCTTCTTCCAGGTTGCTCAGCTGCTTCTCCACATAGCCCAGCCCCACCTGCCAGGGAATGACACCACCCACCATGGGCTGGGCCCTCCTGTATCAATTAACAATTTAGAAAATGCCCTCACAGACCAATCTGATGGAGCCAGTTCCTCAACTGAGGGTCCCTCTTCCCAGATGACTGTAATTTGTGTCTAACTGAAAAGAACCAACCAACACAGCCACTACCCAATGCTGTTTTTCTGGGATTACATAAAACCCAGCAGAGTGCCTGGTAATCAAGGAGGAAAGTAGTATCAAATATCTTTACTCTGTAAGTACATTTTATAAATATCTTCATTTTGTGAACCTTTATCAGAAGAATGTTTGCCCAAGGTCACCCAATAGCAGAGTCAGGAACAATCTAGAGGCTCCCTGCCTGTTTCCACTGCACTGTGCCATGCTTGCTGATTTCCCTGGCCTTGGGAGGCCTGCTCGCTTTTGTTCATATAATAATTGCTTTGTCCTTCTGCTGTTGAAGGTCTTTCTCCTCTTCTCTGGTTAGCTAGGGTCAAGTGGTAATTCCCAACAAGTGAGTTAATTTTTAGTCTGGTGTAAAGGACCAAAAGCAATGAACAGGAACAAAGAAATGATTCCTCTAGCAAAGGAGCTCGCTCCAAACACACCACAGAAAACTGCCACAATTTCATACACTTTAATTTTTAGACCATCTTCCTATAACTTAGGCAAAAATAGTACTTCTGTGGCCATGGTCACACCTTGAAAGGTCAGGTCTTAACTAGGAAGCGTTAAATTGTAGCTCTTGATCATGGGACATAGGAGTCTCCAGTCACATAAACTTTGCCAGATGCCCGGAGAACCCGGGAGAGACTTGAGTGCAGGTGACAGGACGAAAGGACACAGGTACCTGCTACCTGCATAAGGGAGCATCTCTGCCAGAATCTGCCTGCTGCTCAGCAACTAGGGATTGGCCAGCACCTCAAGGCTCAGTGATAGCAATTATCCTGTTGGGGGAACAGTGTGGCCCAGACGTTCCAGGTCAGTATTCTGCTGGGCCTTCTGCTGCCCAGTCTCAGGACAAACAAGCCTCCCCCTAAGAGATCAGATGTGTTGTTCTTTTTAACACTCCATCTTGGGCATATTACAAAAGACAAGGGACAGACTGTTTCAAAGACATCCCAAGCCTATGGGGTGAATCTGGGACACATCTGTCAAGTGTGTTCCCACCCCCATCACCTTTGGGGCTATCTGCTTCAGTCTGAAGTTTCCGTGTCTTGAGCTCCTTTCTTGTTTCACTATCACCCATTCTCCCAGCATCCCTTGCTGTAAGGAAACAGAAATGGGATCCCATTTTATGTTGGTCAGAAGTCATCACTGTGACACCTGAGAAAACGTAATTAAGAGAAGAAGATGTGTACTGGCCCATGATTGCAGGGTTTCTATTCCATCGTGGTAGAGAGAACATGGCCAAGCAAAGCAGCTCTGATCATGGAGGACAAGCAGAGAGACATAATGTCTGTGCTAGCAGTATTTCTCTTCCTTCCCCTTTTATTTCATCTGACTCCCAGCCTGCACCCATGAGGGTCTTCGCCTTTAGTCAATTCTCTCTGTAAATTCACTCACAGACACAGCAAGATGTATGCCTTACTAATCTCCTAGGCAGCCCTCAGTCCAAGCAGCTTAATACATTAGCACTTTTTTTCTTGCACTGTAAAATCATTAAGGACATGATCTTTAAGCATCACTCTGGTACCAAGATGCAGTGTGGCTGAGCTCTTCCCACTGAGGGAGGTGGTGTAGACCAGTACCAGTATCACTGCATGAACCAACTTCATGTCAGCACAGCTGCAGATGCCATGCTGTGTAGGACCTGACGTGCCTTTGCCATAAGATCCTGGGGTAGCAGAGAAGTTCTGACTCTGAACTTAGTCCCACCGTGTGTATACCTGGCACACCACCTCCTCCTGGCTCTACTGCCTGGAACGTGTGACCTTCAGTTGTCTCTGATGAAAAATGGAGACAACCAAATCCCAACAACTACTAGATCCTCCAACTAGATTCAGAAGATCCTGTGAACAGGAGCCTCCATGTGTTCTTTTCCCCTGACCTTTATTTTATTTTTTTTTCGTTTTGTTTTGTTTTGTTTTTCGAGACAGGGTTTCCCTGTGTAACAGTCCTAGCTGTCCTGGAACTAGCTCTTGTAGACCAGGCTGGCCTCAGACTCACAGGGATCCACCTGCCTCTGCCTCCCGAGTGCTGGGATTTAAGGCGTGCGCCACCACCACCCAGCGGTTCCCCTCACTTTTATTCTAATATTGTCACCTAATACGTTAGCACTTTTTTTTTCTTGCACTGCTAAATCATTCTAGTTTTTGTTTAAAAAAAAAAAAAGTCAGGCAGGACATGGACTTTAAGCATTACTCCACTAGAGACATTTTTCAAGTCAACAATGATCTACTCATAACACTGCTGGGGTCTGTTTGATCAATGAGCCATGAAGGCATGCGATGAGACTGTCGTTCTAGCCAGTATTCTGAGGTCTACAATGGGATGTCACGGTCAGAAATAGGCAAAAATTATTTCAATGGAATTTTCCCTAAATATACTGGTCCCATAATCCTTTAATATCCATTTCTGAAATACAGGTGAAGGCTGGCAATGTGGCTCAGTTGGTGGAATGCTTGTCTGATATGCACAAAGCCCTAGGTTCAGTCTCCAGTGCTTGAGAGGTGAAGGCAGGAGCATGGAAGTTCAAGGTCATTCTCTGTTATACTGCAGGTTGGAGGTCCAGCCTGGGCTACAGGGAAGCCAATGAGTAGTTGTGTTGCTGGAGTGTAATGTGAGGCGCCTGGAGAGTTTGCTCATATGCTATTTGTGTGGCCCATCTGTGACTCTGATGACAACAGGATATCTTCAGAGAAGTTTGCTTGATCCTACAGAGTACATTGACCTTCAGGTATGTCGCATAGGAATTCATTCTGAGACTCTGCCATTCACCATCCTCCAGTGTTTAAACATGGCTACGGAGTACTGAGAAATGTCAGGTGCCAGGCATTTATTTAGACAGGCGAGTTCTGAAGTCATGGAGTTTAACCAGAAGCAAAGAGGGACAAGCAGAGGAATATTTATCTTTAACTATGAAGGCTACAAACGTGGCAGAAGCCCAGGAAGTCATCAGGGCACACCGGAGCCTGGGACCTATCTGAAAGTCACGCAAGAAAGGTTCCAATGTGTCCCCACTATTCACACTCTGCTTGAAAAATCAATACTCTCAGCCAGTATTCCCCTGGCTACATTCTTAGCTTGGCTAAGAGAGCATCAGATAGCTTTGGGGGGTCTCTGAACACCGGATCACATCAGCTGAGAAAAGCCTGGGAAGCATCAGAAACGCTGTGAAGGTCAAGAGGAGGAAGGTGATACAAACAGAGCTGTGTGGTGTGGGGCCATGGTTCAAGGTGGATAAGGAACAGGAAGAGACGCAGCCCCGTCAGATGGCTCTATCAGTGTCTCAGTGGACACAGGAAGGATGGCTATCTGCATGTGTAGTCCAACAGAGGCTTCACTTTCTATATATATCTCCTATTTCTCATGACTATTACCCTATCTTTCAGTATAGCAATCCTAAGTACTGTGCAATCCACATGTAGGCTAAGAAATAACTTATGCTAATTAACCTAATTAATAATTATTTTGCCCGCTGTAATGGGTAGAAAAAATTATATACCATAAAACTACCAGGATGCCTGCCAAAAAAATTAGATCATCAACTAAATTATTGGAAATAGTATTTAAAACAGCTGTTGATCCACCAAACATCTAGAGAATATTGATTTGTTTAACTTTGGTTAAAAATCCCTTGAAAGAGAATGTTGTGTGCTCTATTAACTCATCCCAGAAACTTCTTTTAAGCCGAGCTGACCCGCAAGTAGCCAAGTCCCTCAAGATAGACAAAGATCTACAGTCACCAATGAGGACTTGCAGGACGTTAAGTGGAGGTCAAGGTGATTTCTCTAAAGCATTTTAAGAGTTTAGTGTACCAGCCGGGCGGTGGTGGAGCACGCCTTTAATCCCAGCACTCGGGAGGCAGAGGCAGGCGAATCTCTGTGAGTTCGAGACCAGCCTGGTCTACAAGAGCTAGTTCCAGGACAGGCTCCAAATCCACAGAGAAACCCTGTCTCGAAAAACCAAAAAAAAAAAAAAAAAAAAAAGAGTTTAGTGTACCAATGCGGACAGTAAGGGGGACCAGCGTGCAGGGATAATGGTTGTGCTTACCCTGTGTCATCCTGGAAGCCTTCCAACTCATCGCGCTGTTCCGCCAGCGTGGCCTCCAGATCCAGGTAGGCACCATTGTGGGACAGCTGCAAGGTGCAGTCGTCGAGCTAGGAGAGAAGGAAGGGGTTAGTCCCAGTCATCTCCTCAGGTGGGGACCAGGTACCATCGAGGCACCTTAAGATGCCCTCAGGGGCTTTGTACAAACCAAGCGTGACTCTGAACTGTGATGCCTAGCTGAAGGAGGGCTGAGTGGAAGTGTAGTGGAAGCATGCTGGAGCGGAGCTGGTGCAAGTACACAGATGCATCCGTCACGGCTGGCAGTGGTCCACGTTGTTAAGATTTTGAAGTGGCAATTACCAGCATTTTGTTATATTTAGAATGATTACCTACACTTAAAAATTATTTTGACAAAGATTCAGACTAATATTGTGAGAAAACCAAGTATACCATGTCATGTTTGACTCCTTGAGTGGTCGGGATGGCTCTTACGGTTCATCGAGTTGGCGAGTCAAGACTCTAACTGAAAACATGCAGGCAAGCATGGCGGCTCCTGGCTGAAATCACAGTACAGTGGGGCGGAGAGGCAGGAGAAGAGGGAGGAGAAGTGAACTAACGGTCACAACTGTAGTCCAGGCCACTGGGACTCATCAGCTCCATTTGGAATGTCCAGCTTTATTCCCAGGAGTCTCAGTGAACACTGAACCTTCTTTCGTGGTCATCAAGGCCTTCCAGGGATCTGCCTCAACGTGCTCTGTGTCAAGCCCCAAATAACAACAGGAAACCCCACAGTTTTCCCAGCCTATGGCAACAGATCCTCAGCCCTCAGCCTAACTGCCTGACCCCGCCACCCCCCTCCTCGCATTCCAGCCACCACTAACTGCCACCATTTCAAAAATACCATCTTAACAAAATTATATATCTGCCACAGGCAGGGCACCAAGGAACACAGAACAGCTTCCTTCCCTCAGAGATACGGTGTCATTGAATGAGTGAGACGACAAACAGACTGTGGACGAGAGTAAGACACAGATAGACCAACTGCCAGGCAGTGGATGCTCTTCCTTAGCTTATTCTCCAGCAACTGCTTCAGCAGAGATGCCAAAACCCTCCACAATATTGCCCAAGTCCCCACCCAGAAGAAGACTATCATTGTTTCCTAGCCAAATGTCACCAACTTGATCCCCTAACTAAAGGGTAAACAAGCCCCTATGCATTTGTGCCAGTGAATCTCTCAACTGAAAAAGAAGAGGTGAGCATAGGCCTTTAGTCCTCTAAGAGGAACATGTGGGCATGTGCAGAACAACCAGGGGATGAGAAGCAAACTGGGATACTGACTATCCTGGGACAGATTGCCTTGGGGGCGTGGTGTGTGTAGCAGCTAAGATGCCAAGGGAGCCAACATACTGCCAAAGCGATGCAGCCTCCCCATTACACCCAAGACGCAAGATTAATATTTAAACTATCATCATGTGAGCCAAGGAGCATGAATAAAATGCACTGGGGCTCTAATGACGTAGATTTCTCCTAGACAGTTCAGAGATCGGAGGTCAGCTTTGGGTCTCGCTTTCACAAACTGGTAGAAGCCTGTATAAGTTACTTTGCTCACTGCTGTGACAAAAATACTCCAGGAAAGGTTTGTTTGGTCTGGTGGTTTATGAGGGAACACACTCCATTAGGTCCGGGGAGGTGTGGACACAGGAACAAGAAGCAGCCAATCACTGCGTTCAGCGAGGAAGCAGAGAGGTGAATGTACCAGCTCAATACACTTCCTCCTCCTTTTCGTTTGGTCCCAAGCCCCAGGGAAGGGACTATGCCCATTCAAGATGGGGCTCCCTTCCTCGGGTAAACCTTCCTGGAAACATCCTAGAGAACAAACGCAGAGGTGTGTCTCCCTGGTGATTCTAAATCAAGTTGCCCACAAAGATTAGCCATTTCAACCTCGGCAACGACTACAAAGTCACAGTTACAAAATTGTAAAGCAAACACCCAAAGCCAAGGTGTAGAGGCAACAGGGAAAGAAAGGCAAATTTCAAACTGGTTGTTCTAAATATGCCGGCAGAATATCCAAGCTTTCCTTACGGAAAGACTCAGACATTTCCCTGCCAGACCAAGTCCCTAGCCTCCATTACGGCTTAAGGGGAGCAACCTGATCTCTTGCCTTGGCCTCTCATGTCAAATGTCCTCCCGGATGACTTAAGGGTCCTGGAATTTCCTGACTCTGACAATTTTCATGTCAACCCTGATCCCCTGGCAGCATGTCCCCTGCACTCCTTCCTTGGCTGAAAGTTTGGTGGCCAGGACACTGTCGGGCACTTCAGGACATAAGACAAAGCAGGGAGCCATGTGGGAAGATAGCGTTACAGGGCTATTATTGAAGGGTGGCGATTAGGGAATTTAGGGGCAGTGACAGTGGCGTGGCTGAGAGACTTCAGATCAGGTTGCCTGCTGTCAACCTGTGGCCAGGGTTCTGGCAGGGATCAAGCTGCTCAGAGGGAGTCGATCCCAGACCCACAATAAAGGCCCTTCGATGACATCTCCTGAATGTGCCACTCCCCCCTGCTGCCCCAGTCAAAACACGCCATTTAAACAAGCAGCCTGGTGACATAGAAAACTCCCTCTGTTCCTTTTTACGGATGCCTCGCCAAGTGACTCTGGGGTTCTTTGGACTGTTCCTAACAAAGACAGTGCACTCCGAAAGGGCAAGCTCACCATTCCGGAAAAACCTCAACCATCTGAAGGAAGGCTGATGTCACGTCTCGATTTATATATTCGTTCCCTCTCCCCAAGCCGACAAAGTGGTGTGTTGCTGGGGTGGTTTAATGATTATCTGGCTTCTGGCAGCAAATCTTGAGTCTAGTCTAGGCAATAAAATTCCTGTGTAACCCTGAAATAGATCTGAACAGAACCCTCCTATAAATATGCACAAGGCTACCATTTACACCAATTCTGTAGCTGCATAGAAATGAGAAAATATGTAAGTTAACAATAGACTTCACCATTTAAAGAAAATCTCAAGTGCGAGACCCTCTCGTGCTCACATCCCCACTTTCCCCGCGTGATCTGGACAGCAACCTGGAACCCAGGCTGGCCTGTGTCTTGCTTCTCATGAGTGACATCTGATGTAGCCTAGCTGACAACTGCAGGCACTCACTCCTAGGAGCTGGCCTCCCTTCTGGTTATTGGAACCCCGCCACTGAGCGAGGCCAATCTAGATTGTCAAGCTCCAGATGATCCAACAGCTGATGACAGACACATGAGACAGCCCTACAGAAACAGGGAAACAACCTAAGCCAGCACTTCCCGGTAGATCATTGGGCTTCAGGGTAACTTCGTGGTTGTCAGTCTCCTATCTCCCTGATCTGTGAACACAGACCACCCGCAGCTGACAGGTAGGGCAAATCTGACCATCAGAGTTCCCAGAGTCTGGATAGGGGGTGGCGACGGGGGAGCACGCTAAATGTACTGTGGTATGACAAGCTCAAACAGGCCATCCTGAGATGGTACACAGAGCACACAAATCTAACTTTGGCCCTCCCTGTGCTAAAACTCCTGCTGGGGACAAAGGACAGCAGCAGGTACTGAGTACAAGGGACCTGGAGCACTAAGGAATTAGGGAGCAGTGATTCCTAAGCCCCTCCCCCCCAGAGAAGTGAGAGAAAGAAGGCATGCCAAGTCCCTGGGCCCCAGAGCTCACTCTACTGTTTCGCCTTACTCCTCTTGCAAACTTCAGAGTAAAAGATGACAATATTGTGGTTTGAATGCGAATCTTTAACAGGCTGTCATGACTAAACACTTGGTCTCCAGCTGGTAGCATTTTTGGGGGGGGGGTTGTGGATCCCTTAAGAGGTGGGGCATACAACACCAGGTATGAGAAGCCCTCTTTTTAGTTACTGATCGTGGTTTTCAAGAGACTCCTAGAACACACAGGCTGTGGCTATCACCCTTGGTTGCCACCCCCACCCCTAGAGATGGAAGTCAAGGCCCTATTGTTGAAATACTGTGCACTTCAGACACAGGGCTGGGAGACCCCTGAGCTGGAACTGACCTGAATGTCTCCTCCCTGAGCACTCGTTTTCATGGTACCCAGAGGGCACAATGCAAGCTTCCAGAGCACGGAAACAACCAAGAGTCCTACCTGCCTCTGAAGCTTATGAACCACAATAATGATCAGTAGGGCGTAATAGCACAAGAGGCACAGTAGTGGCATGCACACCTGAGTGGTAACCAACAAGTCTATAATTGGACTTAAGACCCACGGAGCAGGGGGAAATCACGCCTGGTTCAGGAAACCCAGCCAGCCACCAGGGCTAGTGAAGTCACGGCTCTTGGAGGAGAACCTACAACCACCACTTTACTAAACCAGCATAATCCCTAAGTACATTCTAAATATTTGTCCTTACACCCACAGATAAGTGTAGTCCTGACCCCACATCAAGGAAACTTCTCTTTGCAACATGCAGAGACTATTATGGAAAACCACAACCAATCAGAATGCAGGGTTATGAAGCCCAGTCCCAGTAAATACATCTACAAAGTAGTCTGGCACCTAGGAGAACACTGTAGAAGAGGGGTGGAAAGATTATGTTATGAATGTACTTTCTTTGAATATGGCTTGATTTTTCCTTCCTCAGAAGCCTAGGTAAGCTGGTGATCACTAAGCCGAGGACGCGTGCCCTGTCCTGAAGCTGACTCAAAGAGCTTCCAAATCAAGTCCTAGACTTACAGTTAAACTAAGATGAGCACACGACCCACCCACCAATAGCAAGAACCTCGACCAGATTCCTTGAGAAGACAAAGGAGCAAGTTTAGGGGAATGGTAACACATAGACAGGAAAGTAAATGACACTTTATCTTTAAATAGCTGGAAGTATTGTAGTAAGGAGGTCACTTGTTTGTTCCCGGCTGTTTAGCACCCCCAAAAAATCACACAGAATCCATATTATTTAAATCACTGCTTGACTCATTAGCTCTAGCTTCTTATTGGCTAACTCTTACATCTTAATTTAGCCCATTTCTATTAATCTGTGCACCACCACATGGCTGTGGCTTACCACCAAGGTTCAGCATCTGTCTCTGGCAGTGGCTCCATGGCTTCTCTCCCACTCCT